GTGGGTCCTGTGTGGTGTGGACATTCTCTGGGGTGTGCTGGTTTCTTGGGAGCATGGGAAGCAAGGTCATGTGACAGTGGGTAAGGAAGAGGGGACTGGGGCTCAAGGAGGCCGGGGAAGGGGGCTTGAGGAGAGCGGGAGGGGCAGTGTGGAGTTTGCGGTGTGTTCAGAGGGCAGCTGGACCCTCGCAGTGCCTGTGGTTCCTCCCACTGTGGCCAGAGGTGCGGGTGGCGGGGGACAGAGTGTACTGTGCACCAACACTGGGCTTTGCCCACCAAGAACCACAAAGTGTGATGTGACTGGGCCATGAAGAGGGGTGGCAGAAAATGAACTGGGAAGGACAGGGTGCTAGGGGAGACCTGAGCCTGCACCCGCTTCACCCAGGGGGTGCCGCGGAGGGCGCACAGGATGGGTCTTTGTTGCTGCTCAGGGACGCTGAGCAGGAATGGAGAGCCCCTCCTGTCCAGGGAAAAAGCCTGGGCCTGTCCTCCTGGCTCCCCTTGGCTCGTCTCTCCCTCGCTGAGCTGGAACTCCTGTGCATGTCACCTGCATTTTGTGTGATGGCAAAATTCTCTTCTCCTCTGTAAAGGAGCCACCCGGCTCTGGCAAATCCTTACTATGACCACCACTGTGAACAGTTCTGGGTTGGAATGTTTGTGCTGATGGCAGGTCACCAGGTCACCACAGTGGAGTGTGAACAATGAGCCTGGAAGTGCCGATCTAGGACCTCATCAGTGCCCAAATGCCATTGACTGCAGCTCCCATGGCCGAGCAGGTGATGAGGATGCTTCAGAGGGGATGTGGGGCCACGCTTCACTCTGGGCTTGTTGATCACGAGGACCAGGTGGGCTGACCGGCCACCCTGCATGGGGTGGGAAGTGGCCTTCTACTGGAGAATTGCTTCTCCCAGACAGAGGCAAGGACGGCCACTCAGCGTCCCAGGTCCCAAGTTGTCTCTCCCTGAACTCACGCCTACAGTGGCCGCCCCCTGTGGGCAGGGTTTGTCCTGATCATCCACGAGGCCAGCTGGTCAGGAGCAGCCGCCAGGAGCCCCATGTGCTCCCCACACTATGAGGAAGGCAGGGCCCAGTTTGTGCAGGTCTTGGCTTTCTGCCTCCTTCCAGGAGAGACCACCTCTGGGCTCATTTGGGACTTTGTGCAGCCCCTCCTCCCCGCAGGCTCCTCTTGACTCTGTGACAGATTTCCTGTGGCCTTTAGGGGGCCTTTTGCATGACACTGTCCCTGTTGGGTCCACATCTCCACTGCGCTAGGACCGGCCCCTACCCCTTGTCTTCTGGCTCTGCCAGCCTGGGGTCGGATGGAGGCCTGGCCTGCTGTGGCCTCCCATGGACCCTGGTGCCAGCCTGCGCAGCTGACCTGCCCCAGCCTTATGCCCATGGAGGAGCCACTGAAGGAACGTCATTGTTCTGTTGTGAGCAGCCCTGGGACTTCTGTAGAGCCTGGTCCCAGGCACTGAGAAGAGCAGGGACCACAGGGGAGGCCCAGGCAAGTCCTATGGGAAACCACCTCTCCTTGCCACCCACCTCGTCCAGGTAAAACCAGACTGTACTGAAATACCAGGCTGCCTGGCAGAGAGTGGGATCCAAAGGGTCTCAGAGCGGGATCCGGCAGGAGGACGGGCCTGTGGCCGCTGAGCCCTGACCCCTCCAGCTCTGCCGTCCCTCCTGCCCTCTTCTCTCTTTCCTTCTCTCCTCTTCCCTCTCTGCCTCCCCATTTTTGGGGGTACTGGGGATTGAACTCAGGGGTATTTGACCACTGAGCCACACCCCCAGCCCTATTTTGTATTTTATTTAGAGACAGGGTCTCACTGAGCTGCTTAGCGCCTAGCTGTTGCTGAGGCTGGCTTTGAACTCCGGATCCTCCTGCCTCAGCCTCCAGGGTTTCTGGGGTTACAGGTATGCACCACTGCACCCAACCTTCCCTCTCCCCCTTTCTTCCTTCCTTTCCTCCTCCTTGCCCTGCCTCCTCCTCCCTCCCACCCCTCACTGAAGCCTACTTCCTTGCTGTCTGGCTGGCCCCAAGGCTCCCCAGGCTTCCCCACCAAGCATGACCCCTAGACCTGTTTGTTCCCCAGTACTCAGCCAGCGCCTGCCCTGGTCCGAGAGGTGGCAGGTGGCAACTACCAAAAGCAAAGAGAACTTTCAGGGACAGCCTCTCTGCTCTGGGGAGGGACCTAGCAGTTAGGTGTAGACGGGGCCCCCCAGGATAGTTCTGCTGGTGTAACGCAGACCCCTGAGCCTCAGATCTGCAGTCACACTCCACAGCCCAGCGGGGGAAGCAGGACCTGCATCTTCTAAGGAGCTATGGGGTGGGGGGCTCATTTGGTGGACTGGACGGATCTTTGGGAACCATTCCTGTGGCCCACAGGGCTGTGCACTTGGCCATTCCCTCCAGAGTGTGCAGCCTCTTCCCTGTGTTTTTAAGGTCCCTGCTTGTCTTTGGAGTCAGGAAGTAGCCTTGGAAAAGGATCCTACCTACATGGCTTGTTGACCCTGGGCATTTTCAGACTCTAAGCGTAGGCTGTGGGGGAGATTTTGCTGTAACTCCTCAGAACTTACCAGTTAACGCAGGGGCTCCCCATCCCTCCGCTCTGCAGACGCCATCCTGCCCGAGATGCCCCTCACCCTCCCAGCAGAAGTGTCACTGCCTGCCTGCGGTGTCGGTGACCCGGCTCCAGCTCTCTAAGGCTGACCTTCCTGCAGTCCCCCCCCACCTGTGACACGGCTTCTTCTTTCTTTCTCTTTTTCTTTGAATCCTAAGTAGGAGAAGATGGCACATGTCACTGTCACCACTTGGTTTCAAAGAACAGAAACTAACCTAATACTGTCCAAGTGGAAGAAGGACCTCAAGGTCACTCAGGACTCCTATGCTCCAGGGGCCAGGAGCAGAGCCACCTGCCTAGCAGATGGTGAGGCCAGGACACCAGGCGGCCACTCTCCACATGGCCTCGCACCTTCCCTTCTCCGCTGTGTGCCTGCTCCGCCCTTGGCTCAGCCACCCACTGCCCACCAGAGCTGCTCCAGATCGGCAGCCGGAGCCCCCAGTGCGTGAGTCTGCCTGGTTCTGGCTCCGGGAGGAAGGGGATTCAGCTGGCCTGGTTTGGGATCAGGGCTTATTTCTGATTGGGTTGCCTGAGACCAGGGGTGGGCTCATGGAGCGCCTCTCCAGGTTCTCTGAGGGGGCCAGGCTGGAGGGAAGAGTGACCCGGAAGGCACTGCTATCCCTGCTGCAGTGATGGTGGCACACTCTACCTGCTGGGGGCGGTGTCCTCTGTACAAAGGCATGCTTGGCGGGCAGTTTCTGGAAAAGCCTGGACAGCCCTCACAAAAAAAGGACAGAGGCACATGATTTATTGAGCGCCTGCTGTATGCCCCCGGCACACTGCACGTCTTCTTTTGTTTGGCTCTGTGGAGGTGACCCAGGGTCTCCAGCACTGTGGTGGCTATGCAATCTCAGTGTTCGGTGGCATTAGACTCTGAACATTGTGCTCCGCCATGAGCCCCCGCCTGCCCCTCACATGGGAACAAGAGCTCTTCCAGGGTCGGAATGTGGACATGAAGGTCAACATCAGAGTAGCCGTCCAAATGAGCAGGCAAGCGCCTGAGGCTGGGGCCCGCGATTCAGTTCAAGAGTGTCCTGCCCAGTGGCCACCTGCTGGCCCCAGGGGAGCGTCCATGAGTCTCCCGCAGGAGATGCTGTTTCTGGCCTTTGGCAGTGGAATTGCTAACTCATCCGTGAGGCTTTCTGGAGAGTGCGGTCAAGCTTAAGGCCTGAAATCAAGAGCTTAGGAGTTAGACAGGCCCCAGGCTCTTCTCTGCAACTCAGAGCAGGCCACTTGGTTTCCTGGGGCCCCAGCTGTTGGTGGAAATGGATCTGCCTTCTTCACAGGGTCATGGAGGTGGTTACCTGGGGAGTGCACGGACACCGCCTTGTACCTTGTGCTTGAGGTAGTAATCACTCAATAAAGGGTTGTAACACTGATTCTTATAACATTATTACATTTATTATAGCTACATATTTATGATATTATTTATCCTAATGTTATCATATTTACTTTTAGTTGCTTGAATTAAGGAAATATGCCTGGAGTTTCTCTTCTCTCTGTAGCACCAGAAAAATACCTTAGACATAGTAGATGCTGAGAATTTGTTTGCTGAAAAAATTTATTACACAAGGATGCCTATAAATCTGGAAACCAAGGCAAGAAAACACGGCAATTGTAGATCAATGCTACCCTGCGATCCTGGAGAGACACAGGGTAGAGCGTGGCCCGTGGGTGTCTCTCATGAACAGCGCACAGTGTGAAGCGTGGCCTGTGGGTAAATGGTGCATGGTCCCTGTACCATATGGAACTGCAGCACATGTGTGAGGGCAGCATGTCTGTCAGGTCCTGCACACAGGACCCTGTGCGATGTCACCACACATGATCTTTCACAGCATTGGTCTCTGACATTAGCCTCTTCCAGAAGAAGCAATTGAGAAGATGCATATATAAAAAAAATAAAATAACAATCTTGGTTTTCAGACATTTGAGGCCCCCGTAGGTGACCTTGCTGAGATCATCTTCCCACCATTTTTCTCGATACCTGTGGGCCCCAGTAGCCTGATCTCTGAGGGTTCAGGGCAGGAGGACATGAGTGACGGTGGAAGTCACTGCTGTCCTTCAGCTTCTCTAAAACCCTTGAGACTGACTGTGGACCCCCATGCTGTTTCTCCACTGTCCCCAGAGTGCAGCGAGGGCCACTTTCCATGTGTGTAGACAGCACATGTGTGTGAGATCAATCCCCGAGCAGTTGACCAGGGAGCTGGCCGTCCCTGGACCCCGCAGGGCCCCTTGCTTTCCTGCAGCCATCAGTAGCCTGATGGCTGGGTGCTGAGTGGAGGCCCCAGGAGAGGCTGGAGTGGAACCGGCACCTCCAGGGGCCTCTGGGTGGATGCTTCCCTGCATCAGCCGCTCTTAGCTTCTCTCTCTCCTGCAGGACGCCAGCCATGATCGGCTGTTCCTTCGTGGTCAACAGGAAGTTCTTTGGGGAAATCGGTCTTCTGGACCCTGGAATGGACGTGTACGGAGGAGAAAACATCGAGCTGGGAATCAAGGTTGGTGACGTGGCGTCCCTCCCTCCTGACGTCTTCGTGGTGCTGCGCGGAGCTGCTGAGTCTCCTTGGCACCGTCGGTTATTCTCCTTGGCAGGCAGATGTGTGAGCAGGGTCCTCCGCCTTCTTGAATGGGGAAGGCTCCCCTTGCCCTCTCTGGGGGGGTGGCCGGCTTGCTTAGGCCTGGTGGCCTACTCTGGGTGTCACCCAGGGAGTTGGGTTCCCACTCATGCCCAACTCTACTCTGTCCTTAAGTTCGTCTTACAACTAAGCCATCTCCTTGAATACGATGTCCATGCCCAGGTAAACTCAGGATGCTGGAGGAGGGAAACACCACATCCTGGGTCTCCTATTTCTCAGAAGCACTTCCCAGGGAGTCTGAAGGAGAACGGGGAGGGAGCCAAGTAGCTGTTACTGGCTGGTCATCCTCCCCAGTCATGGATTTTACTCGCTGAGCTCTGTCGGAGCTTGTATTTGAAAAAGAGAGTTTCACTGTGAAATGGGAAAGTTGGAAGCCCCCAGTGCATCCGGCCTCCAGTTGTAGAGTCAAGTGGGGACTCCTTAAGTGCTTGGTGACGAGTCCTTGTTGGACCATATTTTGGTCCAGCTCCTGAGCCTGGTCCTAGGGTTCTGCACTCTGTAGAGTCAGGCTTTAGCCAGAACCTCCTCAGTCAGGGGTCAGGTCCAGGGGAGCCGCTCCCTCCGCCTGAGCCTGGTGCATAACTAACCAGGCTCCTCACCCCGCACCACGCCAGTGAGAATCCCGCCCACCCCTTCGCTTCCTCAGTGGTTTTCTGTGCACTGACCCCACCCTGCTCCCAGCTGTAAATTCACACTTGCTGTATTTGGAGCTGGGCCCAGTCTCTCCTGCTACAGAGCCGCATTGCCATTGTCCCTGACTCTTGTGAGGGGCCTGGACAGAATCTGCTTTGACGAGCTCAGCAAGTGTTATGGAGGGATTTTCTCTTCAATGCAGTAACCACTTTCCAGGAGACCTGCTTCTCCTGCCTGCGTGTCCACCACCATGCTGGGAAGATGCTGGTGGAAAAGCCAGGCTTGGGTCTGTGCTGGCCCCCTCCACACCCCGCCTGTAGGGCCCTGGGAGCAGGTGTATCGGGGACACCTCAGAGCACGGTCAGAATGCTAATTTCCTCTGCATTTGTTCTAACTTCTCGGGTGCGTTTTCTTTTGTATTCAACCCCTGCACAAGCCCTGGGCAGAACCCGCTCCTCAGGAATGCCCACTCTTAGCGTCTGCTCCATTGGTTTATCCCTTGGTACCCAGCCCCTTTAGGACACCCTACTGTCCCCATCCACCCTCAGCTCTCTGTGGATTGAAAGACCCTGTGTCCTCATGATGTTCAGAATATCGGGGCTGCATTAAACGAAGGGGGAGGCGGGGACCTTCCCTGGATCCTAAAATTGCTCCCCTTTCAAGAGGGCAGGTTCTGCTTCCCGGGCTTTGATTTCCAGGCTGGGTTTTTCTCTGGGTGGACTTTGTGCAGGATTCTTCTAGAGCCCAGCAATTCAGAGGCCCATGAGCACAGCCAGCCCTTGCCTGTCCATCCCTTCTGAGTGCAATTGCCGACAGGACCTGGGTCCAGCGTGCTGACACTCAGCCTCACCCTAACCCAACCTGCTCCTCTCTCCCTCCTCCGCCCGTCTCCTGCCTTGGCACTTGGGCTCCTCATCCTGGGTTTGCTTATTCGTTAGTTCTCTCTTCCACATCAGTAGGTCACAGATCAGTGGGGCACGGATCTTTCTCGCCCCAGGTGTGTAGGACCACGCCTGATCTGTGGCCAGATCGGAGTTTGTGGATTAAAGATTGAACAAGTTCCCTGGAAACCTGACAGGAGTAGAGGCAGTGGGGGGTCGGGGCACCCGCCAGCTCGGAAGGCAGCGAGGGCTACGGAGAAGGCAGGACACGCGGCCCAAGAGGAGGCAGCTCAGAGAACCCCGTATGGAGCAGTTGAGCTTTCGTTTCTTTGCATTTTATCTTGAAGACATGAAAAATTTCAGGATCTGCGTGCCATGAGAAGGGCACCAGGCCCTGGGAGAAAGAAAGGGCCAGAAGCTCGGGCCCAGGAGGGACGGAGTGGGGTGATGCCCTGCCCCACAGACATGCTAGCAGCGGGGCATCTGGGAGGACCCTCCAGAGCTGCTGTTCTCTGGGACAACAGAGGCTGTGACAGCAGCACTCACTGCTCACCAGGAGAAGGCGTTCATTTCCCACACCCACAAACCCATCTGCTCTTCTTTCTTCTGCACTTGTAGGTTTATTTTTTTATTGTTTTTGTAGGTGTGGATGGACAGCATGCCTTTATGTTATTTGTGTATTTTCCTATGTGCTGAGGATCGAACCCAGTGCCTCCCATGTGTGAGGCAAGCGCTCTGCCACTGAGCCCCAGCCCTAGCCCCCTGTAGATCTATTTCTAACAGCATTACTGAGCCTGCCAACACAGAACAATCACACGTCTTTAAGGTGCACAGCGGGATGTTCTGACACACGTACGTTCTGAAATGATCACCCCACTGACCTCATAAACCTATCCACACCTCCTCCATGGTTGCCACTACCGGGGAATTTCATTTAAGATCCATCTTGTTATCAAATTAGAAGTATGCAGCTCAGTGTTCTTACCTGCCACCACCGCCCAGTACTTTACACCCCCAGGAATGACTCACCCTGCCTGCAGCGACATGGAGGACAGGTCTAAGGGAGGCCATTCTGCTCGGTGGTGGCTGTCCCCATCCCCAGAGGAGACGGGGACTCCTCAGTCCTGCCTCCAGCCCAACCCTGAACCCGAGGGCTTTGTCCCCAGTCCAGGGACCAGCCAGCCTCCGTCCTACTCCCTGGGAGTACCGCAGTGAACGGCCCAGGCCACGGCCCCAAGCTTCACATCTCCATGGCCGTCACCGCCCTGGGTGCCCCGCCACGTCTTCAGGAGAGTGTCCGCAGGGTCTGAAGTATAGTCCCCCCATGGAGTACCATCGCCTGCTTCTTGTGGCCGGCCCAGCACATGCAGCACACAGGCGAGAGACCTAGGAGGGATTTTGCCTCTCGCGTCCCACAGGCCACATGGTCCTGCCACTGAGAGCTGACTTTTGGCAGAAGCCTTGTTTTTCAGCATTGTTAAAAAGTTTTTATTGAGACTTAATTTTAATTGTACAGATTTCATGGGTGGCATGTGACACTTTGATGACAGGTACGCATCATGTAATGATCAAGTCGGGACAATTAACATTTATCATTTCTTTGTGTCAAGAACCTTTGAATACCTCTCTTCCAATTATTCTGAAATGCATGAGAGAAGGGTGAGGGGAAGGAAGTGGAAGGTACTGGGGAATGATGTCGACCAAATGATATTCTTATAGCATGTGCTCCTACAAATACGTAAAGGTGCCACCTATAGTGAACCAATGGACGTATGGTAAAAAGAAATACATAAGAGATTGCTATGAGCTGTAGTCGCCCTACTGCGCTGGGTAGAACACCAGAATGTACTCCTCCTGCCTGTTAGGAGGAGAATTCTGAAATGTTGGTAAAATTCTGTAATGTTGGATTTCTACCCTGAGCAAATGAGGGGAATTTAGATGCTTTGTCTGTTACTGTTTTTTTCCCCCACAAAGCAAATTGCTAAATGAAGAATTCAGTCATTACATTTTATGCTAATTTCTCTTACTTTAATTCAACATTTTATTATAGAAAACTTGAGACATACACAGAAATAGATTCAGCGTAGTGCATCCACGTGTGTTCATCATTCAAGTTCAACAAATGTCAACATTCTGCTGTTTGTTTTTTCAGTAACTGCTTCTCGACTCTTTCAAAGCAAATCCCCAGACATCATGTCATTCCACCTATAAATACTTAAGAATGCATTGCAAATATAGGAAGACTTTTTCAAACATAGGCTTTGCATAGTATTACCGTTAGCACAATTTAATATCCAATTCCTGTTCTCTCAGAAATAATTCTGTTTTATTTCCTCAAAATACATATTCTTTACAGTTGGTGCATTCAATTAAGAATTCAGGGAGGGATTCAAGATGGCAGGCTACAGGAAGGCTGCATTCCTGGTTGCTAGTGGCTTCGTACTCAGGCAGTGGGAGTACTGCTTCTCAGGGAAAGATGGATTTCAGTGAATTCTATACTGGACACTCAGCACATCTTGGAGACTCAGAAATTTGGGCTCATTGAACAAAGAAGAAAGAGTACTTTGGACCCAACTAGGTTGCAGCTGCAGTGGCAGCACAGGTTTGCCACAGAGCGGAGGGAGAACACAGAAGCATAATGGACAGATGTGGACAGAAACACCTGGAATCAGGAAGGCAGCCTGGACTTAGCTGATCCAGAGGCTGCACAAAGAAGAGGTGTTTGCAAATGCTGTCTGTTTCTCCACTGGCTGCAGAGAGCTGAGGCAGGAGCATCTGGAAGAGGCCATGCTGCAACTGCTGTTGTGGAGCTGGGAGGTCATAGAAAACATGGTCACACTGTCCTGGCAAGTGCCTACTGTGTAGCTAAAGGAATAGGAGCAAAAGATGTACAGAGAAGGTCATACCAGGGAGATTCAAGTTGGAAAAGCCAAGAGGAGCCCAATTGGTTTTCCCTTTGAGTCTGGCAGCTCTCATGACCAGCTAAGGTGAGTGGGGAATCTGACAGGCAGGTGTGAACACTCAGGACTCAGCCTGGGAAGGCTGTGTTGGTGGGCAGCAGAAGAGTGAGGGATTGGCTCCCCTGCCCTTGGAGGAGAACTCCTGGAGGCTCCAGACTCCCTAAAAAGATTAGCAATGGCCATGCTGTGGGGTGTGTTGATCTAATCTCTCCAGAGCAGACACCACCTTAACGTCCCTGAGGCCACATTAGACTTGAGCCTCCAGAACTCCCCTCATAGAACTCTGGAGTGCAAGGATCTGGTCTGTGAAGACAGAACTCCAACCGACAGCTCTTCCATCATACCTTATACAGGGGAAAAGGAAAGCTGAGACTTATCTGAACCAGCT